GTGACTTACGATTTTTAATTTTTTTTAGCTACAATAAGAACAACTCATAAGGAACCGTGTATTAAATTTTCAAGTTTTTTTGGTCGTCCAACATTTTTTTACCGACACTTCAAAATAGCCTTTATTGTTTTGATGGTTGGTGTTTTAAAATAGGTATTAAAATCAATGGTTTTATATGCTGAGTCATGACGTTCACTCGTTCTCATACYCCTACACATTATGACCACCAGGTATATCTCAGGTATGAAAATTGTTCGCGTCGATTATCTAGTTGATCTTGGTTTTAAACTATTTTATATAACTTATAATTTATTGTATAAATATTATATAGTTTTAAATAATTATTAAACAATTTACAATATAAATAACTCAAATGAATAAGTAATAAATWAAAAAYATCAAACCTTCTTTTTTTTTATATGAGCTCGCTTTAAAATATGTTATGATATTGAATTGGCTTATGAGTGTGTAACATATTAAGAGTTAWACAGCTATATAAAATTTGTATTTATAATATGCTCAACTGCTCAAGTATTGTAATTTGTATAAATATCCAAAATAAATTTTCTTATAATATGCTCGATAAAGTAATATTTCGTTATACATAACATTATCATCACGACTGTTTTAAGTTATTTTATAATGTTACTCCTTCAACACCGAAAAATGAGAAGGATTTTGGTTAAAATATTTATTTAATTRTCTAAATTATTATTATGATTTAAAGTTAAATTACAATATAGACGACTGAGAAGTCGTCAACTTGATTATTTTACCTTGTTACTTTAAAAAAAAATGTATTCAAGTTGTAAATTTGATGCACTAGCCACTAATACAGATATTATAATAATACTTATAATATTGAACGTACAAATCATAAATCATGATTGAACTACATTTTATATTAAACATTAAACATAACATTTGATTATGAATACTAGGAATTCATCGTAGTAAACAAATTTCTTTATTTCTAAACATTTTGTGCATATCTTTTCGTGCATACAACATAATATGCTTTGTACTAACCTTGAAAGATAATTGTCATCAATTATTCAATCACTCTTAAAAATGGTTTTATAGTAGGTAAGCACTAATTAATTTATAAAAAATTATAACTGTTTATTTAGTATAAATATCAGTAAATGAATAATACCATCAACATGATGTTGACAGTTAATTGAAAACAATTTCAACTTTATGAAATAACTGAAACTAATAATCACCGATCATCATCATAATTTATAATGACGATTTTGTGTGTGTGTGCGTGTTTTTTTTTTTGCATCTCCGTGGGTTGTAATAACTTACCCAGCAGTAAAATTGTTTTAATCTTCAACTTTAAAGTGGGTTTCTGGTAGAAAATTAGATTTAGTTTAGTTGGCAAAATTGGTCAAAAATATCAGGAATATTTAAACAACATCAGTTTTAATTAAAATCGATTTAGTTATATTTGTAAGTCAAAACGCTTGAAAATATTATACAAAACTTCACTAATAATTTTAACGTTTAGAAATATTAAAACATATCAGAAACGACAGAAACACATATTAGGAGAACAGATTCGATATAAATATATATACTTATGTTTGGTATTTAAATATTAATAAGTTGCAAATCATTTATATAATTATATTCAGTATTATTTACACAATATCTTTCGTAGGTATTATAAGTACCTACTTTGCTAAGCAGTTTCTATCCGGTCCTAGTTTTTTTCTGGTAAAATAAAAAAATAAGGTATTATAACTATAAGTACCTAGGTACCTGTACTTTTTTCTACATTTTCGATYGCAACCAAATTTTAAGTAATAGGTACAATAAATTAAATTAAATATAGGTATATACGGGCGCTCACGAATTGCCTCCCATCTGACCCTCGAATTGCCTCCCGTGATTTTTTTTAAAAAGGTTGCACGAATTGCCTCCCGAAAAAAAAGTAGTCGAAAAAGTAGTGACCCTCTTGTACTAGAATCGCCTACGACAGTTATAATTAATCGATTTAGGTATAAATTTACATATTAAATGAACTGAGAAAATAATACATAAAATAAATATTTTAATAAATAGACTGTCAGGTGTAATAATAATAAATAATAATATGTATAATGAATAAATTTACTATTTTCGAACTGGATTTCATTACACTTATTAATTTTTAAATAAGTAGAACATAT